GATGGAAGATGCCAGAGCTTTATTTGATCAAATTCAGTGCAATTCACTCTTCAATCTGGAGGAATCTTAAAATTTCTTAGTAGGGTATTCTACTTGCACTCGTGACGTAAGTGACAACGTTACAGCTCCAATCCTTACCTAATACGACATTGATTTGCTTACACTTCTCACAGTACTTCAATTAGGTCAACATCTTCCATGTCTAATGTGCTCACTGCTCAGGAAATGTTCTTCGAGTTTCTAAACCATTGTCCTAATTTAGCAGGCTTTCCTTTTCTCCTTCAAATGTTTATCGAAAGCTTAACTAGTTTGTTGTGTCTGTGTCGATTTCTAAGGCATTGTCCTAATCACTTGTCCCCTGAAATGCCTTTTCATCTACAGGCTATGCACAAAAGCTTGAGATTGGTCTGCATCCACAAAAATGGACCCTTGTTTCCGTTCTTGCTGCCTGTTCTAGTCTTGCATCGCTTAAAAACGGAAGACAAGCTCTTCTGCTCATTATTAAACATGGATTTGAATCAAACCTCTCCCTATATAACGCTTTGATTACCATGTACAGCAAATGTGGTGCGATCATTGATGCCGTGTGAGTTTTCAAACAAATTGAGCTTCCAGACCTCGTTCATGGGACAACATTATTGCTGCTTTTGCACAGAATGGTCTCTATGAGAAAGCTCTTGATTTCTTCAACCAGATTGCGGTCTGTGGCTTAGAACTAGACGGTATAACATATCTTCGCTTGTTATCTGCTTGTGCTCATGCAGGGAAAGTGAACGAGAGCTTGAAGTTCCTTGGCTCGATGGTCTGTAGAGACGGCATTGCTCCTAGATCGGAGCATTATGCTTGCTGGCTTGGCATTTTGTGTTGAGCAGGTCAGTTAGAGAAGGCTTGGAACACAATCCAACAGATGCCATTTGCAGTGTTCACGTAAACGGAGAAATAGGGGAGCTGGCTGCAAAGAATATATTAGATTTGAATCCTCGTAGTTCCGGGCCTTACGTCTGGTTGTCCAACATATTCGCAACTGCCGGACAATGAAGGGATGTTGCATCAAATTTATTCTCCAGGCCTGTTTTCTTAAACCCCATGGTTAAGAAAATTGTGGTCACTCACTATTCGATCTTAATCCAACCGTATGTGGTTGTTTAACATTTTTATTGTACTTTCTCCTTCATTGTTGAATTAAGATTGAACGGTAAGTGGTCAAGTCTAGGACAACGAGACTCGTATATTCTCCACAAATTATATTTGAGATGTGATTTTTAGATATTTTTTTAGCTTGTCACACATTACTTTTTTATTTTTAACTATCAAATTCAATAAATTAAACGAAACTATTGAGCATAATTAAATATGAGTGTATGTTTATCAATTTCCATTATCTTTGCATCCTTATTAATTTTAGGATGCGTCTTGCTTTTGTTGGCCTTAGGCCATCTCCAACCGAAGGGTCCAGAGGGTCAAAGAGCTGAAAATAGCTCGAAAATCATCTCCAACCGAGGGTTAGGCCAGAGGGCTGTGGAATCTGAGAGGGCCCTACAGAATCGGAGAGGGCTGAAGGGCTGGCCAGAAAAATCATATTTCCTATTGGTTGAATACGTTTATATTATTTAATATAAATGTATTCCTATTGGTTATAACCGACAGAAATGCCATCAGCTAGCCGTTGCATTTGATTATTTTTTTTTTTTTACAGTTTTATTATTATTTTTTATTTACAAAATTTTTCCTATAACTTTCTTTTTTCAATTTTTTTTAATTCTATTTTTTTCCTATGACTTTTATTTTACAAAATTTGTTTCATTTTTTTTTAAATTCCATTTTTTCCTATAACTTCTATTTCACAAAATTTGTTTTATTTTATTTTAAATTCTATTTTTATCCTATAACTTCTATTTCACAAAATTTGTTTCATATTTTTTTTTAAATTATATTTTTTCCTATAACTTCCTAAGCCATTATACAACATTAAATTAAATTAAGTAACATGAAACAACTTTAAACAATATGAAACAATATTAAATAACATTAACCAACATACAAATTATACAACATAAAAAAAATATTTAACAACATGAAACTTAAACAACATTTTAAAAAACATTTAACAACATAAAACTTAAACGCCTACTGCATGCTTCTTTTGGCCCAAAGATATACAACAAAATCTTGTTGTAGGTACTTGTTTGTGGCACGAGAATGTATCATTCTATAGTGCCTCATGTACTCATTTATAGAGATACTACCGGTTCTTGGATTGAAAGGCAAATTAGGCCCATCATATATTTTTGCACGACCCATTCTTGACCTATTTGGATCTTCTTGGTCGTCATCGGACTCTCCATCGATATACCCATCTCACTCATCCTCCACTATCATATTGTGTAATATGATGCAAGACATCATGATGGAGTCCAAATTTTCTCGACTCCACCCTCTTACCCGTTCGCTGATGATCTTCCACCGTGCTTGTAGAATACTGAAAGCTCTCTCAACATCTTTCCGGTATGCCTTTTGGTGTAAGGTAAATAACTTTTCTGCAGTGGGCTTTCTCGACCTTCTGCTAAAGCCTCATTGCCTTCCAGTGGGACAATTCTTCCAATCCCAATGCATGTAGTCTAATGACCTTATCATGCCCGGAAACCCACGGTCTTCAGCTTTTACGAAGGAGCCGATTCAGATCTTCTTGATTTGGCTCGCGGAGGTACTCGTCTTTGTAAACCTGAACAGTTGTGTCACATAATTGTTCAAGAGTATCAAGGCATGTAGACTCAGACATACCATGTGTTTCATCCATTGAATCAGCTGGGGAGCCATAGGCCATCATTTGGAGTGCAACAGTAACCTTCTGATGAGGTGAGAAACCAGGGCGGCCTGCTCTGTCCTGCTTCTGTCGAAAGTATAGATTGACTTGCTGGACATCACGAAGTAAACGCTCGAAGACATGATGCCTCATCCGGAAGCGACGTTTGAAATCCTCTTATGTGTACACCGAGTTGGGGTTGAAGTAGTTGTTCATCAGATTGGCATGTGACATCGCTATGTTTCGTGGTTTGTAAGAGCGACCAGCAATAGAACCGCCCCATTGAGGTTGTTCCTCAGTTGGCTGACACACCATGGCCGCAGTGATGGCTGTTGCTCTGTTTTATTTGTTATGCCTTACTTGCACTTCTTCATCAGACTCTTCATCTTCTCGTCTTATTTGCGCCATTTTGCTTCCAATTTGGAATTGGATGAGGACCCCAGTTGGAATCCGAAGATGATCCAAAGTTGGAATTCATTGCAAACTTGAAATGAAAAAGATTGAATTGAAATAGATTGAATTCAAAGTTGTGTGAATTATAACCCTATATCCGCCCCATTTATAGCAAAAGAAAAATTTAAATCCAACGGCTAGCTGACGTCACTTAGGTCATCTCTAACCGACGGGTCCAGAGGGCCAGAGGGCCGAAAATAGCCCGAAAACTGTCTCCAACCGAGGGCTAGGCCAGAGGGCTAGAGGGCTTGCTGCATGCCTGGGGCTGGCCAGAAAATAGAGCAATCATGTCGGTTACAACGGCTAGTCAGCTAGCCGTTGTATTCAAATTTTTTTTTTTTTTTGGTTTTTTGGGCCAATTTTTTTTTTATTTTTAAATTCTTAAAAATTCTAATTTATTTTTTCTCCTATAAATACCTAAACCATTCATTAAATTTAAGTTCTAAATTTTTTGGTTTTTTGGGCCAGTTATCGTTGTAGTTTTTAAATTTAAATAATAAATTACGTTTGACCCTATGAACCTTTGGCCCTCGGTTGGAGACGGAGACCCCTCTACTATTCATTAAAATATTAATATCTTGGAGGGTCAGAAGGCTAAAACGAGTCTTCTGACCAGCCATGGGTTGGAGATGGCTTTAGCCGTTGGATTTGAATTTAAGTTGTAGTTTTTAAATAATAAATTATGTTTGGCCCTATAGCCCTTTAGCCCTCGGTTGGAGAATGTTTTTTGTTACGGGGCTAAAACGAGCCCTATAGCCATTTGGCCCTCGGTTGGAGATGAAGGCAAATATGGCCTTGTACTGTTCATTAAAATATTAATTTCTTGGAGGGCCCTCGATTAGAGATGACCTTAGTTTAGTACGACATACCCTATCTGTCATATAGTTGAAACAAATTCACCGACCATTTTTTGGAGATATTTTTTAGTGTGATCAATACACGGGGTGGTATATCATGTGTCACTATACAAATGACGTGATGTGTGTTAAAAAGTTAATAACTTAAAAAATAAAATTTCTTATCACTTATATAAAAACATGTAGTGTACCATCTATTTTCTCGCTACAATGAATTTTTTTTTTCTTCTATTTTTTGGGGGTTGGAGGTATAGACTAGGATTCTGTTCTCTTTTTTTTCCCCCCTTCCATTCCCTCATCTCTTATTTAAACGGTTACGATTAAGGTACGTCAACATCTTATATTAATTTTTTTTATAGAAAAAAATAACAAAGTAAAAAAATGTGAGAGAAGAGAATAAAAGGGGATGACAAGAGAAAGAGAGAGAATCCTAATTTGGGAGGTATGGCCCCCAAAATGTTTGTCATGTTCACATACACTTTGTTTGTAAGTACTTTAACGAAAAGTTTCAAGTATTGTTCACTTTAACCGAAAAATCACATTTTTACACTAAAAAAATCAATTCTAATACTATTCATTTTATCCTTTATTTTACCTTTACCATTAAAACTCAAAACTTTCATATTTTTTTAATTAGTTTCCTTCTGTTTCCCCTCTAATTGTCAATTCACATCACATGAAAATCATGCGAAACTACGTCCTTAAATTATTTCGAAATCTGGACCCCACAACAAACCATATCCACCGACCCCTGATTTATTATTGTATCAAAAAAACACAAAAATCTACGCCCATAGAATTATTTCTCTAATAAAAATAGGACTTACGTGTTGCAGACCTCGGTTTCAAATTGCAAGAGGAGCATGAATCACATGCATCCAACGGTAATATAATATAATCCTAAAAGGCAATGAGCTTAAGCGGTACGCGGGGAAGCATATCTCCGCAGTGCACCGCCACTCCATACGATCACACCTCAACACATTTCCCTCTCCCCGCTCCCCTCTACATATCTGCCGCTGTACGCGCGTTTCTCCCAACCTAAATTCAAACCCATACTCGACAAGGAAAATCAAGAGCAGAGAGAGAGAAAGCAACGACATGTCGTTTGGAGTGGAGTTTGCGTTGCCTCCGGAGGACCACGAAGATGCCAACAAGGAACGGGTGGATTTGGTTGATCCAACGGCTCCGAACTTGTCACTTCCGAGCGGGACTTTTCTCATAGCGGCGGTGGCTCTCAAGGATCAGGTACATATTCACCTCAGTTCTTCAATTTATTTACTTTTAACTAATCTTGCTTAATTAGCTCCATCATTAATTAATCAACTAAAATCTTACTTATAATTTCCCAGCTCTTTAAAGATTAAAAGATTAAAGCTTTAATTTTTTTTTTTTTTTGGTTTTGAGAATATAGGTGGTGCAGGCTACATGGGAAGGAGGACATGGTTCGGGTACGCCTACGGGTATGGTTTTGGATCCGACAGTGTATACGGGTCTCCTTGGTACGGCTTTTACGTGCTTGAGGTCGTATGAGGCCACCGGTAACCGGCAGGACTTGCTGCTCTGCGCTGATATCGTCCACAAGTGCGGGGCCGTCGCACCTGCGTCCAGCAGGTAATAATTTTTAGGATAAATTACACAAAATTATTTCAATTATTGATCACGACACTATCATACCTCATTTTTTAAAATTGATAATGTCATACATCATCTTTAAAATTTGGTCTATTATTGTACCTTAGGTTAGCTTGGCGTAAATTTCTGAATTAAACGTTGATATGACTTGATGCGGATCCTATTTTCTATTAAAAAAATAATAAGGAAAAGTTAAAAAAAAAAAAAAAAAAACTCAATTCGTTCCCTCCCCCTTCTCTCTCTTCTTCCTTATCTTCATCTTTTTCCCTCTTCCTGCAAAGAAGAAAAAAAAGAAGAAAACCAATTTGTGTTCCCCCCACCCCCTCTTCTCCCCGCACCTAACCTCGCACCCACCCTCTTTCCTCCACACCCATTCCCCCCATTTTTTCCGCGCCCAGTTTCTCTACCTGCGGAATCGGCCTGGCGAAGATTTTCCGATTCTACCTCAATTGAATATGAGTTTTTTTGGGTTGCAGGTTGTGGGTGCAAGGGTGGGTGTGGAGGGTTTAGGGAAGATGGGAGGGGAGAAGAAAGGAAGAGGGGTCGGGGAAGATGAAGATGGCTTGTGGTTTTTTTTTTTTTTTTTTTTCTTTTTTTTTTTGTTAAATGTTGAAGGTTGGGCTCAGGTGGGGGAGAGGAGGGTGGGGGTGGGGTTGGGGAGGGGGAAAGACAAACTAAGGGTGAGTGCGGGGGGGGGGAAGACAAATTGATTTTTTTTTTTTCTGGGTTGCAAGAAGGGGGAAGGGGACGAACTGACGGTTTTTTTATTTTTTTGTTTTTTAACTTTTTTTTATTATTTTAATATTTAAAAATATTAAATGATTTTTTTTAGTTTTTAATAATATTTTAATAGAAAATAGTTCTCGGGTCAAATTTAACTGAGAAATTCACGCCAAACTAATGGAAGATATAACATTGGATCAAATTCTAAAGATGAGGTATGACATTGTCAATTTTAAAAGATGAGGTATAATAGTGTCGTGAGATCCATAATTAAGGTAGTTTTTTGTCATTTACCCTAATTTTTTATTTTTAACAAACGATTATAAGTGACCTTTTATGAAAGGAAAAACAAAAAAGAAGTAAGTGAGAAACCTTCATGGAACAAACATGCGGCAGTTCGAGTGAGAAATGTTAAAGAGATTCTTTCAAAATAGAATTCTCTATAGATTCTCTGTCATCTTATAATTTAACGTTAATTCTTGTGTCAACATTATAAAATGGAAAAACATATGGTGACAGAGAATCTATAAAGAGATCTATTTTTGTGAAAGCCTCCTTAGCATTTCTCTTCTTACATATAGTGAAACTTATATGTGTCAAATGTATAATTAGACCAGACGCCATGATATAGGTAACGCGTCTCTCGTAGAATACACAGAATCTTATGGTAAACTATGATAACTTATATTATTTGTAAGTAATAATTCAATCATCATTAATCACGTCATCTGAGTTACAAAATATAATATAAATTGATGGTCTCCGTACTATTACCTGTAATGAGTAATGTGTGAATGAGTTGGGTTTGTGAGTTGGGGGTTGGGTGTCCTCAACTATTAAATGTATGTTATGTGATACATTTTAAATATAAATTTCATTTCATCTAGTGTGTTTTAAATTTTATGCCTATGTGCTAAAATCGACAACCATTTTTATTGTTAAGGGGGATGCGCAGTTTGAATAAATCAAAAGAGATTCATAGATCGCACAGAAGGAGAAATGAGTGTGATATCACTATCGAATGTCATTAAGTAAGCAGTGACTTTGATTGATTGGCAATGTCGCTTTTATGCAGGCACGTGACTTTTTTATGTGGTAGGGGAGGAGTGTACGCCCTAGGAGCTGTGGTGGCTAGTTTGATTGGGGACCATGAAAGATGTGGCCTCTATTTGAACCTGTTTCTTGAGGTATTTATATCCAACTCATATTCCCATCTGTGTCCTTTTATTAGTATTGTGAAGCTCTCTCTCTCAGATTTGGTTTTGGATAGTTACTTGATAAATATCTCAGAACTGGAATAAGCACTACTCACCTCGAGATGGATGTTGTTATTTATACATCTCTTTTTATTTTTTACTTTGTTAATATTTTTTTTTTTTTTTTTGATTCTCTTCGATTTATTTGGTTCAACGATCAAAAATTGAGAATGATGTGTAAAAGGTAAAAAAGAGTATGTGGATAATACCGTCCTATCAAATATGGAATAGTTTAATTAGAAATTTTAGTTCATTAGCAATGTCAAATAGTGTCTATTTACATGTTTAAGGGCATGTTTACTTACTAAAAATAGGTATTGGAATCATTTAAATTCTTGAGTGCCATGCGTTTACTAAAATATGGGTACATTAGTCATTTCATTACTTAACGTTTCCATGCGTTTACTTACACATAAGTAATCGAAAAACTGCAAGATTTCCCTTAAGATGAGTAATCAAATACCTAAAAATAAGTAATCAGATCGATTGAAGGAGAATAGTTGATTTGATTCTCTTTTCTTAAAAATATATATTCTTTCGCCAAAACCATCAAAAGTCCGATATGTTAGTTGTACGGAAAATGAACCCCAACTATGTGCCAATGTTCTATTCAACTTCCCAAACAACCTTATCACCTAACTTGCTTTGTTTTAATTCTTTAATTAATTGGACTTTGGAGCATCTACTTTGTGAAATAGTTGAGTGATTGCCTCGAAAGTCTAATCAAAGTTTTGGCTTTTCTTTTAGGTTGTGTTCTTGTAATTTGTCATTGTATTTTCTTGGAATTAGTCATATGCATCCTTCAAAGGAGAGCTAATTAATAACAGTTTAGGGATTTACCTAGTGCTTGCACTAAGGAATCCTCACAACCTCAAATGAGGACCCTAGAATTCACGCGTATTCATTAAAAATACTTAGTACTACGGTGTAGTAATATTTCTCATCACTTGTAAGTGAGAGGTGTTAGGTTCAATTCTCTCCAAAATCGAATTTTAACCACATTATTACTAGTCCATTGTGAGGTTAAGCTCATTCTCTTATTCTTAGTAGAGATAATATCGTTTGTTCAAAAAAAAAAAAAAAAATTCTAGTGTTGTTATCGATATTATTACAAATTTATTAAAAAAAAAAAGAAACTAAAACAATAAAAATAGTGTACATAATAATTTAGAGTACCAATAACAAAACTCTCAAATTATATGTGGACGCGTCTACAAAAGTGGAAGTCTTTTGACCCCGTGCGGTCAATGTGAAATTTCCTGATGTGGACCTAGGCTTAGGTAGATAGGTGGAAACATATTTGCGGTTTTAAGAGTTGGTTGGACGCCACATGACATTACTTAGAAATTCAATTAAAAACTTCCTGACAAAAGATGGTGAGATTTTCGTTTTTATATGACTTTCTTTGTGTGCTCTACTAAAAACATGTGAAATTTATTTTTGAGAAAGTGGGGGGCGGGCATCGGTTGGTTCGGCTTGGGTTGCACTCCCATCCGTCATCTCTAAAAGTTTGGATTGGTATATTTGGAGCCCATAAAACCTACTCAAGTAAATAGACAAACCGACTCACCCGAATGATTTTAGGCGGGTTGGGTTGCACGGGTTCCACGGGCTGGACATAATGCATTTTTTTCTTAGTTCTATTGTGAATACGAGTGACCAATATTCAAGGCCAATGTTATATTACATGTAAATTATGTGGATTTGGTGGTATAGAATCACCACCTATGACACTACATCATTCAAATCGAGTATAAGTATGCTAAAGAATTTAATTTTATGAATAAGTCAGTTTCAATCGGGTTAATAATATTCTAACCCAATGTGACCTACCTATTAATAAGCGGGTTGGTCGGGTTTTCACTCAAAAATAGTTTTTAAAGCTGAGATCCCAACCCAACCCAAGTAAGCTAGATCATTTCGGTTAGGTTGGTCGGTTAACCCACTAAAATGCTCACCCCTAACAGAAAGTGAGATTACATGTCTATAAATTAGTCTGCTACCAATTTGTTGGGATAACTCCCATATTCAAGACAAAAAAAAAAAAAAAAAGTTGAGATATGACGTGGTGAATTAGTTACATGAAAAAATCTCGTATTTGTAGCTTCTGCATTGTTTTCCCTCGCTAATACCTATTTGGTTGACTTTGTACAGATGGCACAAGAGAAGGCCTTGTCTGTTGGGCCAGAGGAAGGTGGTTTTGGAATGTCGTACGATCTTCTCTACGGGAGAGCTGGGTTTTTATGGGCAGCTTTGTTCATAAACAAGTATCTTGGACATGACAAGTTACCAAGTGATCTTCTAATGCCTGTTGTGGTTGCTGTGTTAGCTGGTGGTAGGGCGGGCGCATCTCATATCCCGTCCTGCCCGCTTATGTACAGATGGCACGGGACTAGGTACTTGGGGGCAGCCAATGGCATGGCCGGAATTTTGCAAGTGCTGCTTCACTTCCCACTTTGTAATGAGGATGCAGAAGATGTGAAGGCAACTCTTAGATATATGATGGCTAATAGGTTCCCTCATAGTGGAAACTACCCCTCAAGTGAAGGAAACCCTAGAGACAAGTTTGTGCAGTGGTCTCATGGTGCAGCTGGCATGGCCATAACCTTGTGCAAGGCATCTCAGGTTCGTGTGGTGGCTCTTTCATAAATTTACTCTTCTTAATGCAATTCTCACAGTGGGTAGTCAAAGATCGTTTAGTTTAGTGAGACCTAGTATTCACTTTGTTTGAGTAAGTCCTCGATGCTACTATCATGTACAACGCTTGTTGAATTATAACAAAACGAGCTAGTACTAATAGTGCATGAGCCTTTACCATAACAGTGATCAAATGAAATTGATGTGGTAACCAAACTTCTGTTATTTTGGAGAGAAATTAACGGTGTATGAATGTGGGCCGAAAATATAATCTCTGAAGCATTTTCCTTTAGCAAGCTTCAAAGTGTTGATGTCTGTCGATTACCTATTTAAATTTTTTGCAAGATGCATTCAGAGTTATTTGTGATGCTCGACCTTCTCACATATATCCCAAATCCTCAAAGTTTTTCTAGCCCAAAAAGAAGGTCATTGTACGTGTGTATTTTCTGTCTGTCTGCAAGAATATGAGTTAACAGCGGTTCCTGTCCTTTCTTCTTCAGGTGTTTCCAGGTGATCGGGAATTTCGTGATGCTGCAATAGAAGCAGGAGAAGTTGTGTGGAAGAACGGTTTACTGAAGAAGGTAGGACTTGCTGACGGTGTGGCTGGGAATGCCTATGCCTTCCTTTCTCTGTATCGTCTGACTGGAGAGAGCATATACAAAGAGAGAGCAAAGGCATTTGCAAGCTTCTTGTATCATAAGGCTGGAGAGTTTTCGACTGCAGGGCGCACTCATGGGGTCGAATATGGCTACTCTCTTTTTCAAGGTCTTGCTGGAACAGCTTGCCTCTGGTTTGATCTTCATGTGCCCGAAAATTCTAGGTTTCCGGGTTATGAACTGTAATAAATTGTGAAAAGTTATGAGATTTATTAGTATATGACTCTAGCCTGACATGTATATATAGATGTGAACTCAAGTAAGACACCTTAATACTAAGGCCCGACTTGTTTTGTTGTGAGAGTATCTATAAGACGAAGTTGCTGCCAGAGGAATCAGTGGTGGAAAGGATGTTAATTGTTAAGGCACAGTTTGACAACTATTTCGTTGTTTTCATTTTTGATGTAAATGTATACGACATGTTGGAACTAAATTTAAGCACCGCAGATGAGAGAGGACCTGTGGCAAACCCGACTACCTATAAAAGAACAAACAACCACGATTAACCTAAAGTACCAATAAGGTATCTACTAAAGATTCTTCGACGGTCAAGTTAGTAAGCGGTATTAAGATTCAAGTAGTGAGCAAGATAATAAAGTGTGCGTTATGAAAGCGTTACCAAAGATAAAACCCTAGATGAGGGTATTTATATTCGTTGGGAAAGGGATCTATTAGGATATAGAATCCATATTAAATTGGCATAATCTAAGAGGAATCTAGGATTAGATATTATGTCCTCTTAGAGATGTGATTACTTGCAGTGCATGTCAATCTCTAGGTTGCAAGAATCTCCAAGAATATAGGAAACCGTCTGATCCTTAAGGTTTTCGTATCTTGTGGAATAAGAATGGTCAATCTGGGTGAAGAGCCTACCTTTCCGAAGCACAGTAGGATGTGGTGGGATCGGTGGTCTATTTGAGTAACTTAATCTGATCGGAGATGTTGGGTCTGTGTACGTATTCCGATCCACCTTCCTCTGGCCCTAGAAAATCCTTATCCCATAATTGCCCCTAACTATGTATCTAAAAAGGTGTTCATCTTGAGGATGGATAGCTATCCAAAGACCATATCTTATGGAATATATCAAAATACATACCGGTTAAGATTCTTTTGCAATCTGGCCTCGTTATCATTGCAAAGTAGTAGAGACGTTCCAAATTCAAATGCGCAACCTCGAAAATTATGTCGTAGTGACAACAATGATGGGAGACATTGCTTCGCATGTGTACAAGAAATGATGAGCCACTTTTTCTGTTACCAAGCTATTTTCGCTGCCAAACACACAAATCTCGAGGTGAGACGGTCCAAATTCCTCCTCCAATTCCTCATGTATAAATTTTTTTCTATGTTATAGGAAACCTCTTCGAGAGTTCTAGCCTTCCAAACCTTCAAATTACCAAATTTCTACTTTAATTCTTTGAAAAAAAAAAAAAAAAAAACAAAAAAAGAAGACATCTTTGAGCATGGAGCTAACTCTTACCAACAATCACAACACTTTCTTTGAACCTCCGATGATCAGAGAATGAATCCAAGAGGATTGTGATTCTTTCACCGACCATAGCCAAGATTTTTTTGAGTGGGATATGAATTTGCTACAATTTCTTGGGAATGAACTTCATTTTCCTGTCAAGTTTCTCCTTTTTAGCCTTCACGTTCTGCACCTTAGTCAAAGGCGATATCCTCTTCATAGACTTTGCATGATTCAGTTGGAGCGGAGTGTCGAGATTCTTGAGCGGATTTTTCTTCATTAGATATGAACGTTGGAACAATTAACATCTTTATTATCGTGGTTTCAGAATTTCTTGTCATTGTCTTTTTTCTTCAAAGATTAATCAAATAATTTTTTTTTTTCATCAAAAAATTCAGAGACTATGAGCATGTGAGAAAATCAAGGGGTAAGAAATTTCGAAAGGAATTGCAAGAGCCTTCTACAAGAATTAAATCAAGCTCGCAATGAAAGTATTGATTTGTTGTAGCAAAAATCCGATATCTGCATTCTTGACGAATTTTACCTTCAAAACAATTAAACACCTTTGATCAAAGACCAAAGCCACGAGTCCATGTAATGGAGCGAGGGGAGTTTGGCTAATGGATCTTCGATGCTTAAGTCAGGTTTTCTGAAAAGAGAGAGAGTCTTAGGGCTTAATTGCGTAGCAAAAACTTACCAAAATTTGGTGGAGAATGAGGTATTTATTAGGGGTGGATTTTTGTTCACCACCACAACTATGGTGTATGCTCACCATACACCTAATCATTTGCCATGTATCATTTCACCTAACTCCAGTGAACTTTCACATTAAATGTTACTATTTCAATTTTGAAAAAAAAAATAACCAAGATTAAGTGAAAGGACATGTGTCAGATGATTGGTATGGTGAACATACACCAAAGTTTAGCGAGGTAAGCAAAAATGCTCCCATTTATAAGGAGATAGCTGGCCACATGCATAGGGATTGCCATGCCATTTTTCGACATCCCGTTGATGTGTCATTTGTTGGATGTATTAGAACATAGCCAGCCACTTGAGAAATAATCCTGAAGATATTATTTAATTAATAATATCTTGAAATTATCTCGTGGAATCCTTGATTGGATTTGATGCTGATTCATTATTGAGTTGGCCTTCAATAAAGAAAGCTTTAAAGATAGGATGTGACTATTAATCCGATCTTTAATACCTCCTTGGCATGGGCATGAAAGTTTGGAGAAGTCGTAGTTGGCAACTTCAGGTCTTCTTAAGAATTAAACCGTGTGCAGAATGAATGTGGGTCGTGTGCATCTTCGTCACTCGTGAGCAAAACTCCACAAGTCAGTTCAATAATTTTTCTGTATTATTTTTGGCTCCACAATTGGGTTCCCCTAGAATTCATTTTTCATCTTTTGACTATCTCTACCCAATTGATTCCAAACTTTTTATTTGCTTTTGGAATCTGAATATTTTTAATCCTTTTTTGGTTGAATTTCTTCCGTGTAAGAGGTGGGGTTGCGATATTGGGGGGTGCTCGGGGGTGGTGGTGGGTGGATGGGTGGCTAGGGGTGGTGTTTGTTGTACTGAAGTGGGAAGGAGGGAGGGATGGAGGGTGGATGGTGGTTCCGACTCCGTCCTTTTGTTGTTTCTCGAGTTTCAATTAATCTTTACTCTTTTTTAGTTTTTGTTTTCTTAATTTTAAAACATTAGGTTTTTTATTTAATATTTTCATGTGGCATCATATCATTAGACTTGGGAGTCTCCACACACATGCCATGTAAGCAAGCAACATAAAAGTTTATGAGAGTAGACGGAAGGATTAAAGTGGCGGAGAGAGGATGATCGACCGGATCTTTTTGCGAGGATTTCAGGAATCCTCCAATCATATTAGTTTATCATGTATCATACGGCTAGTTTTTGTCAAATACTATTTATATTCAATTTTAAATAAAAAAATTACAATGATATCTGACCGTACAATGTACGATGAACATATGTGATTGAAGGATTCAGCGAGGATCCTCCTGGAAATTTGTATAGATAAAAACATGAAAAATGACAGTGATGATTTTGAAACTTAAGAGTGCATTTGTTGCAACGAACAATCTCGGACTTGACTAATTTCAGGGACTAAATTGAATTAGCTTGACATGGACTAAGTAGTATAAGGATAATGAATCATTTGGTGCAGTGTCAGACTAAATCACGAACTAAATTATTTTAGAGTTAAAATATTTTTTTGTCATTTTTAATTCATTTTATCAATATTTTTTTTTATTATTAATGCACACTTTTTTTTATTTGACTCTCTATCCCCAGTCCCTTTACTTTTCTTCTTTGGTTTGAATTCTGTTCTTCGCAAGACCAGATTTGCTCCCACTAATAATCAAACCCATAAACTTTCTCTTCTTTTCATTTGCTTTCTCTCCAATTAAAACCCATATTCCTCTTTTTTTAATTTACTTTCTCTTCAAATCAAACATAGAAAAATCCCTTTTTTTTTTTTTTTTTCCCAATTTAAAGAGGCTCGGATCGTCGGATCTGCAAAATGATTTCAATTGATCTCTACAAATCGACGACAAAGTTACAGACGCATCTTCCTAGCAGAGCGCTTGGTGGCCTCGAGGAGGACACGAAGATCAGTGGTGCGGGATCTGGAGTTGCGGGCAGGGCTTGTGTGAGAGATGAAGCTACTGAATCGGTTGATTACAGGCTAAGGATAGAAGAAAAGCTTAATGGCTGTAGGTTGGGGATTTGTGGAAGATGATGAATTCGAAGCCTCATCACGATGATGATGCGAAGAGCTGGTCTTAGCAATCCCATCCTTTTTGCCCGACCTCGTTAAGCCCAGCAAATGAAAAGTCTAGTTGGAACAATTCTGAGCTCCCCCACCCCCCCCCCCCCCCCCCCCCCCCCCCACAAAAAAAAAACTCGGTCCTGGCTTGCACCAAACACAGATTAATATTCTTAGCTAAGTCAGTCTACTCCAGTTAAGCTTAGGAAGGGTAAACAAACACGTCCTAAAAACTAAAATTATGACTTTACAATGGACTATTTCTATATATAATAAGGCCTACTCGTTTAAATACGATAACAAGACCTTGGGCCTTTGTCCAGCTGGGTCTAGGGTATTTAACCTAGCAATAATCTTGATAGCTTGGTAGAAAGATATAAAGCCCAAAACTTTTGCAAAGGCCATTATCAAGATTATACAGGGAGAGGTACTCAATTGTGTGATAACTCATACATTGCATGCATTTATACCATCCATTTCTAGTCTATTTGTGATGTTTTTGAGTTAAACTAATTGCATTTTACCTTATTTTGTGTTAGTGTGCAGTTACATGTACTTTATGATCAATTTGAAGGCAAAAGAAGTGAATACATGCCATTTTTGGAGCTGACCCTTATTCAAACGTGGAGAGAAGTTTAGTGGCTGTTTTGGAGCCAAAATAAAGTTGTTACTTGTTTTGAAGCCCAAATAAAGAATCCAAAGTGAATCTGGCTAGTTAGGAGACCAAGAGCAAAATGGGAAAGGAATTGGAATATCTAACATGATTTAGAGGAGCCAAATAAGGAAAAACGTTCAAAACTTTGGCTTAATGATTGGGATCACCTTGCAATTAGTTGCAGCCCCATTTAGCATCTAAATACTAGGGTTTCAGATCACTTTTACACAAGCCCCCCTTGGGAGTCGCCCAAAGCTCTCTCTCTTCTCTTTCTTTGGCCTTTCTTCCAGAAACAAAACCCTATTTCCCTTCGCCATCCGCTGCCACCGAAAAAACCACGCAGCCGCGCTGTTCTTGGAGAAGTTCAACATCAGAATTGCTTCAAGGGGGTTTCTTCTATGAACTTTAATTT